CTGATTTAGTATATGAAACTGCAGTAAATTTTCTATAAGGTTTTGGATTTTTACAATTAAGAATAGAACAAGGACCTCTATTAGATTGAGTCATTTTCAATTAAAAAATAAAATAAGTAATTATTTCGTGAAATTTTTTTATTGACTATGTCGATCGTGTAACATGATGATTTCGAATGTCGATCAAAATCGAAAGTCCACTATGCTCAGGAATTACACAGTGTTTACCAACTCTAAGAATTAATCCTTATTTTTCACATAGGTTCTGTATATTTCATAAAAAGAACCTAATAATAATATTGGTGGTGGAGATAATGATGATGATTATTATGATGATAGTAATAGTGATGATGATAACGATGATGGTGACAATGGTGATGATGGTGACAATGGTGATGATGTTGACAATGGTGATGATGACAATGACAACAATAACAACAACAACAATAATAATAATGATAATAATAATAATGGTGGTAGTAATAGTAATAAATTTATGGACCTTGATAAATATGTTGTAGATTATTTAATAAATAAATAATAATAAATGTTGTTTGTCATTGTCTATTGTTATGCTATAAAAACTGTTACTATTACTATTACAATAATAATTAAATATGCGAAACGTAACACGAATTCAATGATAATAAATAATTATACATGTTATTGATAAATAAAAATAGAAATAAAATTTAATTTGACCCAAAATTAAAGGGTTCGGCCAAATTATCGTCATCATCATCTGATCCTGGTAACACTTGTTTAATAAGCTTTAGAGAGATTCACAAAAAAAATTTTATTGATTTATTTATTATGCAAAACAATAGATTAAAAAATTTAATTCTATGAATGAAAGAAATGTTGATTTTCATATAAAATAGTGGACCTTATTTCAATAAAATTAAAATCTCAGTGTTTCTTCTTGTTAACCTAATGTCAAAATATAAAAGAATACTATTGCACCTGGTAAAATTAATGAAGACATCCATTATGTCCCATTTGCCATTTATTAGTGGAATTTTATTAATGAAGTCAATATGAGAATTAAGATCAAATGCAATATTATCCAAACAGTTGTAAATACAAATGGCGGTATCAAGCCTGGTTATATATGAGTTAGATGATGATGCAGTGGTTTATCCAATACCAAGTGAAGCAATAAACAAAAATTATAAAAAATATTTTGATAAAGCAACATGTACTCTGGACCAAGCATTGATGATAAGTATTCATAGAATAACTACAGGTAAATGTTTTATTTTTCTGTTTGAAATTGTTACTAATGGTATTAAAGTTTTTGTGGCAGCATTTGAGGGTTTTGGCAATTGGCAGTTTTGACAGTCACTAAGAGGCTCCAGTAAGCAACCTTAGTTATAATGAAATAACACCACATAAAACAATAGGATTTTAATATGTATGTTTGAAATTTGTGAAAACTACCACAATTAGCTGCAATTCAATTTTCATATGCCATGATTAGTTGCAACTAGTCACAATTAATTGAGGAGCCATCTTTATCTCTATCCCTATCCAAAAGTGATTTACATAGTGCAATTTCTGATTATCTTTCTTAATTCTGCAAAAAGATTAAATCAAATCTTCATAAATATTTTAAAATAGGCAAGCTGAAGTCAATATGGTAATGTTATTTGAGGCATATTCATGGTAAGTGATTTTTTTATATTTCCTATTTCAGGCAAATAAACTTTAAAAATTTCTAGACAAATGAGTTACTATTCAGCCCAAAGACATTCAATTTTTCTTCATCTTTGTGGTTGATAATAAACATTAAATTAAATACACAAAAAATATATGCAGTGCCTTGGCAAAAACCACAAAGGTATTAATTAAACAAAAATATACATAATGAGTGTGCAGCTTAGGCACTGAAGGTTTTGGGTATAAAACTTATATTCCTAAGCTTTCTAATTATTTTTGAAAAAAAAAATCTTGATGTGAAATTTTAGTATAAAATTTTAAAGGGAATATACTCTTACCACACCTACCTCAGTCACACAAATCCCAACCCAGAACCCATGATTGGTAGAAAATAAGGAAATCTTATCTTAAAAAAACCTTGTCATGTAACTGAGTAGGTGTGGTAAGAGTTTTCTTTTAAAGGTTACACAGGATATGAATTTAAATGAGGTTTTATATAAACATTAATATACATTACTATTACAGTAGTAGATAATGAGTTATGACTTTATCGAATATGGTCTTAATCAAGATCGTTTGAAGTTTGAAATTTTTTTTTTTTTAAGGTGAATAATAACAGGTATAGAGTTGGTTTTTTGTATATTAATATAAAAGGTTTTGGATTTTATATTTGTCAAATAGTAATAAGGATTATAATTATTTTTCTTTTATTAGCAAAAAGAAGATTATCTTCAACCTGAGCCGTTTGTTAGAATAACTTTAAATAATAAATCTAAAAATTACCTAGAAAATCCATTAGGAATAGTTTTAAATTTTCTTGAGATCTATGGTGCAGGTCATATATACTCATCAAAAATGTAGATCATTCTGAAATTCAGATAACTATCAATGAATTTTTATTGGTTAATTTTTTTAAAAGCAATTTATTATTATTCTATATTAATTCTATTTAATTCTTCTATTACTCCATCTGGTATTCTTCTATGAGATCTATATTTTTTGACAGCATACTCTGCTAATTTACCACTGATTCCTTTTCTATATAAATCCATATAACGCCAACACTTTCTTGAGAATTTCCTAATTGTAATTAAAGGTACTGACTCAAGACTTTCAGGTACTGTTTTTTTTAAACCTCCCATAAATAATCACAATTTTCTCTCAGATATCATTTAGCAGCACCCCAATATCTTTCAATAAAGTTTAGCTCACAGTGAAATTTTGGAAAAAAGATGCATTTATGTCCAGCATTCTCAATCAGCTCTTCAATTGCTCCTTTTTGTGTTAAAAAATCTGGTTCCAATGATAATACATGGTGTGCACAACAAGATTTTCTTGAATCATCTTTAATATTTTCTTTACATTCCTTGCATTCTAATATTAATCCTTGAGATGACCATTTTCCTCTTTCTATTATTAACACTTGTTTTATGCCTTTAGGTTTGTTTCTAAGTTTCTCATCAGGATGTGTGGATGGAAAAACCATTGATTGTGGCTGTTTATTTTGTCCAAAGTAAGTATCACACATAACAGGTTGCTTGCCACCTGGTTTTAGATTCATTCGTTTTGCAACCAAAGCATCATTTCTGAATGCAGCATGGTTAGAACTATTATCAAAAGCAAATATGGCTATGCAATCTGGATATAATGCCTCAAAAATAGGAATTGCTTTATATTCGATTTGCTCAAGAAGATGTTCTACTGTCCAATAACCATCTTGATTTATGCCAGGCTTCAAATAACATCTTGCTTCTTCAGGTACATATGGATGTTTCTCTATCTCAGCTTGTTGCAAACGAAGGCATCCATTGGCTTCTGTTAAAAATTCGCTAACCGTAATTGACCTGCCATTTCCCTTTTTTCTCAGTGAAATCTCACCATTTTTGGTCCACACTCCACGTTTACCATCATTAGAATAGAAAACACTCACATCATGAACTACAATAATTCTTTCTTTTTCTCCTTCAGGTAAGTTAGGGATTATTCTATCCATTGTTTCACCTTCATATTTGGACATATACTTCTCATGATCAAACATTTTTTCTAAGAACACTCTTCTATATTGCAGAACATCTTCCCTTTCATGCCCATCATAATATGTTCCTTGATGATGTAGTTTAAAAGTGTAACCAAGAATGTTTAACCATCTTTTTGCAGTACTTAAGAAATATCTTTTTTTTTGCAATTTTGTTCAATAAAAGTTTTAAAAGAAGATGGTGTTGCATGGTAATTTGTTCATGAATCCAAACTTGACATTTTCCCACAACATCTTCATCATCAATTAATCTAACTGTTTTTTGATGTTTACCATGTCTAGACATTGGAAGTTTATTGTTAAGAAACCAATAATTTGCAGCATACCTAATCTTTTGTGCTTTCCATGGACCAGCACCTATAAAAACTTTTTTAGCTATCTGCAAACTAGCATCAATTCTTCCACATCCTTTATCATCTAATAATACAAGATATTCATAATTGGCTCTCTTTTGATTATATTCAATTACATTCATTTCTTTATGCTTTTTTTCTAATTGCTCTTTCAACTCTGTTATTTT